GGAAAGAAAAGAGGGAAGGAGAAGAAGAAAGGAGAAAGAGAAGAAGGGAAAGAAAGGAGAGAAGGATAAGGAGGAGAGAGAAGGAAAAGGGGAAGGAGAAAGAGAAGTATTGATGGCAGGAGATTATGGATCCTGGTCAATGAGTTATCAGGAAAAAAAGGAAGGAGGGCAGTAACAATATTTATTACGCACCTTCGTGAAAGAATGAAGGTGCAGAGAAGAAAAGCAATCAGATGAAAAAGTCTCCTTCCCATTAAATCCATTCATGGCACCTGCCAACCGGGGTTTTCTTTAACACGGATGTAGACGCTTCTCCTCCCCCCCCCCCCGGGTCCAGGCTTAGAGACAGGCGCTCCAACACTGCGCAACACGCTCTCAGCCCCAATGAAGAGAAGCCTGGCTAATTGGAAGAGGCTACCAATCTTAATGACAATCGGCTCAGTTGAGAGAATTAAATGGAACGGATCAAACAAACAGGACAACTTCCAACCCCCACCCCTCCACCCCAACCACAGACTAAGCCACCGCTTGGATCCATAAAAGTCCCCAAAACTCTCGTTTTGAAAGTCAAGAGGAGTTTTAGACGTGAAGGGGGGGAAGAGCAGAGGGCAGTCATGGCTAACCTTTTCTGGACCGAGTGCCCACAGCGCGCATAATGCGCACTCCCCCTTGTGCATGCGCATGGCCCCCTGCCTCCCTCCCCCGCGCACGCACGTGTTCCCGCCACATGCACAACACCCCGAACGCATGTGCGTCAGAGACCCAAAGTTCAGCTGGCCGGCGGGAGGCCCACCCACATGCACGGCGGAGCTGAACTGTGTCACCTCTGGCACGCGTGTCGTAGGCCTGCCATCACGGGCCTGGGGCTTTGGTTTGGCACGTGGGAGTTGAGCAGCAGCTACGGGCATGCAACCGACATGCAACCCTGCCCTTTCATGAAGACCACCTGTGTGGCATCTTGAGTTTGCTGAGCCTCCTTGGATGAGCTCCTGAACAGCTCAAGGGCTGCCGCTCTGGGACAGGATCAACAGATGGGAGAGAAGACGGTGACTCTCGGCTTGTTTGACTAACTTTTAATGAACAAACCACCCTTCAGCGTTCCAAACAGCACCCAAAATTAAATCAGAGTCCGAGGCAAAGGACTCCTCAAAGTTCCAATCTATTAAGAGAGACATCTTGGCACATCTGTGGAAACCCAAATCTGAAAGCTTCATGGTTTTCCCCACCCAGTTGAAAGTCCAAGATCTTGCCACCACACCCATCAGTCCATCCCATGGTCCCATCTCCCACTGCCATGAAGACAGATTCTTCCCATCCAGTTCCGGTCGGGTGCAGAGACAAAGGATGACCTTGGGCTTCTAGAAAGGTGTTAGGTTAGCTCCCCGTTGGGAGAGTGAGTGCGTTCAGAGAAGAGTTGTGAGAGTTGTGTTGGAGAACACACAAACCAGCATACAGA